AATTACGTTGATATATCCGGCTCGAAGGACCATATGTTCGTTCGATAGCTTGTTGCGTTGGGTGCGTAGATAAAATAGACGTAAGACTGTATATCGTGAACTTGTGTAATTTATTAAAATTTACATTTGTACATTGCAAACATGTTTAACGTGCGGTTGTTACAAAAGTCTAAGTATATAAGCCGTACATTAGAAATCCCTTTTGAAATGGTCACTGTTTAGAAACGTCTCTCATTGGCGGAACACATATCACGTCATTTACACGTGCGTTGATTGGTGCGTAGACAGTGAGCGAAGCCGCAGGCAAAAGCTGATATAAATTAGTATTACCTACGAAGGTACTTCCAGTAGCAGCAGGTCCGTGGTGCCAATATACGCATTCCGCAAGTTCGACGAGGGGATAAATCACACGAGCGCGCTCACCCCTTACTGCTCTTGAGGAATTATTTGCATATTTTAAATAGCTAATACGTTTTTTATTGAATCGCTTTAGCGCTATACACAAGATCTAGTTTCAATATATTTTATTTATAATAACTTAAATATTAGTGGGAGCTCTGTTTGTTTACATAACAGGTTCTTTATATTCTATCCCTTGTATTGTCTGAGGGCTACAAGCGAACCCTGCCTCAGTTGCATTACAGTCAAGGCATATTTTTCATTTTTAAAGAAATAAAATATGTTAGGCCTTAAAATAATGTGGGACAGATAAAGATGGCTTTTTGATTCGTTTGTTACAAATTGAGTAAGATGCTGATCATCTTTACTTATTTTGGTAATAAGTAAATTGGTACTGAAGTGGTAAAATTTGGTACCGAACGTCATGATTTTTTTGATCAGAGTTATATTCGACAGTTGGATACACCCATATGTACTTTAATTTTCAATTTTTGCTGCTAGAGTTTGGACAAAAATACTAAACTATTATTTCGTCGGCTCCTGCTTGCACTGTAAATGAATAAAACATAAATATTTATTTGGGTGGAAATTTGCTCTTATAGTGTGTTTTTTATTGTCTCTCTGGTATGATAAGTAGAACTATAGTTCATCAACATTTAGCAAAAAAAGAATGATTGAATACAACTCTTTTGTATTTCTCAATATTTTTTTAAACAATGATTAAGATATCATATTAAATTGAAGTACCTGTCATCCATTTAAAAAAAATATATTTAAGTTATGACTTCATGTTCCCCAACAACTGTCATAAACTATAGTGAAGTAATAATGTCACCCTTCTCTCCCTTGACTTATTGATCTACTGACATCGCAAATGCACACACATACGGCTCCAATATATATTTTTACTCCACTAAGCACCTTCGTCGAAGATGCGATCGTATAGAAACCAGCTGACGTGCAATATCCTTATATTAGACGTCTCGGTGGAAGAGGACGACGGGCCGCCGCCCCCGGCCCGCCGGCGCCCGGACGCTGACCCCGGCGGGCCCGGACGCTACATCGCCACTCATTACCGAAAAACGTAGTCGATGCAGTAGGGCCCGGTGCTCATCGTCCGCATTCTCGAATAGTTTCATCGATTAACCTTTTTAATAATAATTTTGAATAAGACTAATAATAAGTTCTAACTTGTAACCGTTTTACCGACACAAAGAAATATGAGTGCAATAAGTAAAGTCATAAAATTGATAAAAATTTAAATATTGTTCAGTAGTTAGGAATAGATACAATGTATTACCCAGTCTTAAGTTTCAGTGATGACCTGCCTGGGAAACATAGTTACTTAGTTTAACATTAAAGCAAAACGAAATAACACATTTGAAAATGAAATATCACAAAGCGCTGTAGTCAATTTAAACGAAACTACCAAGTTTATTGTTAACTGTTTTACATTGATATCGGTTAAAATTACAACGTTACTATAAAATAAAGGTGAATTTAAATATTTATTCACTTTGACTTGAAGGTCTTTGCTGACACAATTATTTATTTTAAAGCATAAATAACTTTTAAATTTATATACGCTTCGCAAAGAGCTACTGGTCCATTGTCCTCTGTAGATAGCAATAAATTAAGTAAACCCTAGGCGGACGGAAAATGATCCTAGCGCTAGTGAGGCGCCGGTCTTAACTGACATTATTTTTGTGAGATAAATCATTTTTATTGAAACTGAAACGCTGAATGAAGGCTTTTGTGCGTTTTCATTTGTGAATAAAACCGTTTTCGTTGAACAAAGGCTCGTTGTAGCTCGTTCCGGAGTTGTAAAGTAGGATTAACAGTGTATAGTGGAGCCGCGTATGGGGAGGGGCTCCGAATAGATTTAACTTCACACCACGATATCAACGTTCACGGTTTTAATTTAAAACTTTAAACGCGGAGATACTGAGGTGCTTGTTTACAATTGTTTGTGTGGCGCACCAATCACTCTGATGATCTGAAGTTGTCTGCACGGAGTGGTTTAAGCGGTCGCCTCACCGCTTCCTACTGCGTTGAGTGTTGTGGGTTCGATCCTCACATAGGATACCACTTTGTGTGATCCACAAATTGTTGTTCTGAGTCTGGGTGTTCTATGTATTGCTGTAACCACGATAGGTAATAGACTACATTTATTCTATTACATATTACATTATATTGGACGATCTATAATTTCGTCCAAATTTAGTAAGGGAGGTTTAAAAGGAAGTAGTGTTACAAAGACAGAGCTTCCTTGTCGTGAATTGCTTATACCCATTAATAAACCAAATGTCTTCACTTTCGAAACACAGAATTAAAAAAAAACGCGTCGTTTCTTGGCAGCCGTAGTACCACTTGGCAAGAAGTGAGTGTTGGTCAGAAAACTTATTGCCGGCGCTGCGGGACTCACTACAGCCATGAGCCCCTCAGATTGAACCGAGATGGAGCCAATACAAACAGTTCCCGCTGTGTGAGCACTTTGTACGAGCGAGCCTTTTTTTTCGAAACCAATCGGTTTTTCTATTTGCTGAGTTCTGTCTGTCTGAGTGCTGCATTTTTCTGCTTTGTCACAATGACAAACAAGGATAGCACATTTAATTATAAGTGCTTACCAGCGCCTAAAGACGTGTTGTGGCTTCGATCCCTGCATGGAACAACACTTTGTGTGATCCACAAATTGTCCGTTTCATGTATGTTTGTAAAGTCCCCTGCGACACAGGAATATATTCATAATGCGGGAGTTGTCTTTTTTTTAAATAATAATAAATAGTAATAATAATAACCAGGGAGACCTGAGGCCTTTCCCCGAAGTTGCTGTGAACGCAATTTCTATTAAAAGAACACAAAACTTGTGGTGGTAATGCCTCTTTAACTCAGCTCATTGCAGAATCTTTAGTTAAGTTCGTTGACATTTAGTTATTATTTCTGCCAAGGGTATGTTGAATTTTTAATGATTAAGTATAAAGCATACACTCGTCAACACAAATAGAGTAATTTTAACAATGTTGAATTTTAGAGAACGTTTTAAGTATCATAATAAAGTATTCATCTAGATGTAAATTTACAAAAAAAAAAACTACAGACGCTAAAATATAAAATAAAAAAAATAAGAACTAGTATATTTTCATTTTTTTTAAATGAACCCATCCCTAATCGTTGCCGCGTTGCCGCGTTGAATGGTAATGGCCTTTTGTTTTTTTTTGTTGACAGGTTAGAAAACCCCTTGTGGTGTTTCCACTAAAAACCACCCCAACGGCCAACCTCAGGCCCTATTCTGGGAGGACCCGGACCATGTTATTTTAGGTCCTCCCTGAATTGACACCATGCTTAATGAGGCACCATCCCAGGGGAAAACACTTCCCCCTCCTCAATCGCATCGTGGCGGCCGAATTGCGTCTTAATACAACCAGGCAGCCATCCTATCGCCTACCGCAACAATTAATCTGCCACCAGAGGTCCCCACTCTCTGGCAGCCTGCGGCCCCGTCGACAGCTGATAACGCCACCGACGTCCTCTACGCTCGGGATCGGCCCTCTCCCGATCTCGTTCAGCAGTCTTTTTCTGGACCATTACAGTTTCACAGAAAGAGAGCACTGCGCCCCAGCGCTCCTCATTGTGCCGATGGGCAGTGGCCTATCTTTGCACCAGGAACGAACTTGAGTCACATTTTAAATATATTTACATAATATAAAATAAAGTCGTTTTTTTTGTGTTGTACGCTTAGATCTTTTAAACTAAGCAACGGATCTTAATGCGGTTTTTACCAATAGAGAAAATAATTCAATATAATGCGTGCATATTATGGTAGAGGAAAGCCGATAATTTCATAGATTTGTTTTAAAAAATTGAAATGGTTTTGCGCGCTTACTTCGCAAACGCTGGCTAATCCTTACGAGATATACCAAAACAATGTACTACGCAATCGTATATCGTAAAAAGATTTACAAAAAAGTCTATGATGATATATGTCTATCTCCTGAGGATAACACAGTAAATACTATATTTACTAAAATAATATGTTATTTACGAAGCTATTTTAAACAATATATTATTATTCCTTATTCCGTTAAATGTGTTAGATATGTTGTGCATTTTATGTAGATTAAAATTACTCGTTTCAGCATATCATTAAAATTAGTATTTCAGACGATATTAGAGGTTTAAAATACAGGCCGTCGCAGCGCAGCTTCGGGCCGTACGTCCGTCGCGGGTGGCAGCGGCCGGCATGATCGGAGCGGGCCTACTCGTATAAATATTGCATTTAAAGATGTCCTGTAGTATAGTAATATCATAATAATAGCATAATTAATTACTCCACACTGACACCACATTACTAGTAACAGTATTATCTACATTGCACCCGTGCGAAGCCGGGGCGGATCGCTAGTACACATAATACATGGTAATACGTTTATTCCCTTTATGTAAGTCAGTAAAAAGTTTTATGACACAATACATTCTGATTGGACCTGTTTGTGCTCGTATGTTCGGATTATACATAAAACCACTTATCCTTAAAACTTCAGCTTTGCTCACGGATCTTGAACTATAATAAAGTTGATAAAAACACAGTACGCCACTCATACTTAGAACGGTGTTGGTAATGGCCACTCACAAAGTGGTGCAACTGCAAATTGTTGGAGTGACACTTGGAACGTTAGTAGGCGCGGCGCCGACAGCGGACACGTCTTCTTACAACTTTCAATGCTTTTAATTAGAGTTCCGTGTCTGTTGGCTGCGGTACCGTACTTTGAAATTAACGCTAACTTTTGTAATGGCAGCCTGTATCCGCGCGCCAGTCTGACGTTTTGGTTTAGAGCGTCTTGATTGATAATAATTAAAGGCATTCACGCTGTCAGAGTGTTCATTTTTGCTTTAGTTCATTGTTATTGGTTCAAAAGTTTTGAATGTGCGTGTTTCCGGGCTCATGAAAAACCGCATTGGGGTCCGTGACAATGTGATGGTCTATTGCATGAGATGCGGCCAGAACTTTAAAATTATAGTTATAAAAAACTAAAAAACCAAACTAAAAAATGGCAAAATAAATTTGAAAAAAAGCGTTGGGTGCCTGTTGTCAATAGTTTTTTTAAACTATATATTTTTTTTAATTAGTGTATTGTCATCGGTCCTCGATATATCTACAAAGTTTGAACGAATTCTGACCGTTTAAAGTCAGTCAAAATCACGCCAAAAGGAGTCGGTTACAAACATACAAACATACAGTGAAGCTAATATAAAGCGTGTAAAAAGGAATTCAGTGATGCGCGAACTCAAAGACTGATTCTTCAATTCTTGTACAAGTAAATCTGTGAGCCACGTGAGGTGAGGTGATGACCCGTGGAGGTTTCCTCACGATAAAAAGGCCGAGTTATGAAGCGATGAAGATCAGGCCTGTGTCAAATCCGAAATTGAGAACAGCACAGTGTGCCGCCTAAACTTTTCAATGTATACGTTAATTATAATAATATATATTAACAGTTGTTAGCACATTACATCAATTTTAATGGGGCTTACCCTAGACCATCTCAATAATTATAATAATAATAAATCGTTCATTTTGCCATGAAATTATTACATTTTAAAGTCCTTTAATTCTATAGTACATTATTATGTTCGAGCATTTTACCTACTATAAATTTTACAGGCAATTGGGGAAGAGATCAACTCCATACTAGGTGTAGCCTATCTCGCTTGCTCCAAAGCTGGTCGGCGCTGCTTCTGGCCTAGGGCGACTAGCCATCGTGGCTCGCCGAGCCTCGATGGCTCGTTGGTCTTCCAGGCTGGAAGCTTCACGAGCTGGCTTTGCCGCCGTGGAGGCGTTCTAGCCGATCACCGTTTAGTGGGCAGGGCGGCAGCACGGGACCCTTTCCTTTCGACTGACGCATGTCCTTTCCGGGCACGGCTGCTTCGAAAAATACCTGCACTCGGTCGCTAGGAGGGAATTGAGTCCCGCCTGTCACCACTGCGGTTGAAGTGAAGACTCGGCTCAGCACACACTGGCAATTTGCACACCACCCCGCCGCATAACCCCGGTGGGAAGACGGCCCATTGCATAACATAAAAAAAAGTAAACACATACACACTCTTCAAACTCTTATAACATAGGACTATTATAACACAGTCAATTGTAGTTTTTATGTTAACAGAAACTGCACAAATTCGACTATAAAAATCTTGTATGTCGAGCGTAGCAACATTAAGGGTGTTGTAGAAGTAGTTACTTTGTGTATTAGAATTATGGGAACTATACTTTATAACTATAGGAAAGAGCATGTGACTTGTGTTTATTATTAGTGTGTTGAAGGTGTAGTATGTGTGGTTAATACGAATATATCATAAAAAGGTCACCACATTAAGTGGTAAATTCCAAGAATTAGCCATGACTTATAATATGTTATCGTTTGGTATATTATAATGGTATTTAGAAAGTCCTCATCATCAACAGCCTTTGATAGTGCACTGGTGGACATAGGCCTCTCTTTAGAAAAGAGGTTTGGGTTGTGTTAGGGTTAATGTCAGGTTTTCCTTTTCTTGAAGTACTGTTATCCCGCGTAGTTTGCTCCCTTAGTCGGCACTTACGACATGTATGAGGTAATACGGGTTGTGACACTACGTATTTATAATCCGTCACCACACGGATAAGTAGAAAAGAAAGTTAAGAAAGTATTAGAATAAAATTATTTACACGAAGTGTTTACTTGTTTGAAGTGGGTAAACTACTCAACAACACACTGCCCGTGTTTTTACAAACATATATGAAAGGAAGTGAAAGTATCCTTCTATATTGTCACTGACGGAAATGAAGCACACATCCTATTATCGGTTATATTTGCTTCTCAGCTAAAGTTGTCCGCTAGGACTCGTTACATAAGTTTGCGTGAGACTCGGCTACCATTTCCGCGTCCGACAAACAATTATATATTTGGGTTCTGTTTGATTTTTTTGCAATTAATATGGCCTCGGTTGTAAATGACTAGAAGATACCTGATTGACATACGCCCACGTCAAGGGCGCTACAGAATACTAAGTTTAGTTTTAGTTTTAACTGTTACTTATATTATATTTAGCGACCAACTCCACGTGACTTTATATCGGGGTGTTAATAACTAAACTTGGTGCCAGTGGAACAACACCCTATTACAAGCGAATTGATATCGAAAACAAAGAAGCGCTTTAAAAGGATTATTTCGTATTGTTACAGCCATTGTGCCCCAAATATCAGATCGGAGTGATGAATCGTTATTAAACAGGCTTTTGAGGCGTATCGGAGAGAACAATATAACCGCTCGGCTGGGAAAGGGCTCAGATACTTTGTAATATATGACATTTTTATATGAGGCTTCTTTGGTTTTGTGATTTATTGGTTCCGCTATGTTGTCGGTTAGATGCATGGACGACATTCACTGTTGAGATGATTTCCCAAACACAATGCTTGCACTGAAATTTGAGCACTTAATGTCTATAGACGTAAGAAAACAAATCCGGCCCCGAGCGAGTCGAACTAACTTTTTTAGTTCAGGAATCGAGTCTAGTTAATTTCGAGATTTTCCCGAAATCCAAAACCTATAATTACTACCTATTATATATATTATTATTTTGTTTTATAAGTGAAATTGTATCTCGATGATTGATTACTTTCTTTTAATAAAGACTATATTTTTTGTGATTAATTACAAATGCAGAGTTTCAGATTTTTTGTAGTTAAAACGATGTTATTTGGCAAATTAGTTCTAGGTCAGCGGGAAGTCACCGTATGAGTTTTGATTCATTCGAGAGTGTCGAAATGTGCATTTTATGATGATTGATTTTTTTACAGCTTCAAGGGACTGTAGAACTGGACTGTAGAATTTCAACTCTATACCACCCCGCGTTTTCAAGGATATTAAAGGCGAACAAACAGACGTACAACAAATTGATCCTATGAGAGTACCGTTTATTTCCTTTTGAGGTATGACACCCTAAAAATACTTCTTTAAATATATGTATTTATACATACAGCTCGTAGCACAAGTTTTACAACTTTAATCTATCTCAATAATATAAGGCGCTCACATATTTAACGTAAATCTTCTTTGCTGCGATAAATAGCTCAAAAACTTGCCGGATTTTATTGAAATTAGGTCCGATTTCTACAACCATTTATGTTTTCTTATTATATTCTTAAAAAGAAGCAGGCAAATAACAATATCTGTTGATGAAGATAGCACAATACCACGAAGTATCTTTTGCCTCGATTTTCAAAAATATAAACAGAAGAAAATGTTCTTTAACAAAGGAATAAGAGCGCGCGTGTTCTACTTTCAGAGTTGGGAGATACTCGTAGTGAAAGAGAATTAAGTCTTATTTACACGAGAATAGTTTATAAAGAGGAAACAGAAACAGCAAGAAATCTGACTCCCATAAAGCCATTCCTGTGTAATTGAGTCATTAAATGGCGAATTTATGCATTAAATCTTCCATTTTGTTTCGTATTTGTTAGATAACGGTGCGACTGTGCACGCTTCACATAGAGTGCCTAGATGTGTGTCTATAAAATCAGCCTAAGTCCAGCAGTGGACAATGAAAGGCTGTTGATGATGATGATAATGACACACCTCTTTATAAGGGGTACACAATGGCGTATTTAACGCCCATGCTTCACTTACGTAATATATATACATACTTATAAACATATGTATATATTTTATAGAAGTCGTAGATCAACAGACAATAACATAAATCTTTGTTTGGTAATTAACAGAAAGACACAATGGCATCATTAAATATGCCACAACATTTATGTTATTCGTTTGGATGTGTACCAGTATGTCAGTTATTAAAGACTAAAAGGTAAAAAGGCAATGAAGAGAAAACAAGATACAGAAAAAAGATGGAATAAAAAGAAAATAAAGTAGAACATTCATAAAAATGGAAAAAAATACAAATAAGAAATAGCCTGTGCTCAATTAATCCCAAGCATTCTTGTCTTCTATGTTATCCACAAGTGAGTAATAGGCTCTCTAACATAGTTTAACGTTTTATTGTGGGTCTAAATTTGTTTATACCTAAGTCTTAAGTATTTTATTTGGGATACCTACGCACCTGCAACTCAAGAGTCATAAGTGCGTTGAAACCCTTCGAGTCATTCTATCCTATTCTTTTATCTCTTTCTATTCTTAACCCATAGTAATACTGGCCTGAGCTAATAATTTTCTGTATACTTGTATGTATGTTATATGTACAGTCAAAAGATTAAGTAGAACTTGCGTAGTGATCGAGCATTCTACGAGTACTACAAAAAGTTCAACGTTAGGTCAATGTCAAATTTATTACAAAAAAGGTGGATCTTTTTTTTAAAAAAACGCCTCAAGATTCCAATGTTTGAGTGAATAGTAACGGTAATTTGTATTTTACCTATTTATAAAGTATCTAAAAGAAAACTTACTTAGAATTCAATTTACTTCCTGAAATATAAATTTATATGGATGATGTCATCTTCTCTCCTATCATATTTGAAGAATATTTTGTTGGCTTATCGTAACCTATAACTTATTTAATCACACAAGTCTTGGATTTATTACCATCTGACAACCTTTGCATATAATCCTCTTTAAGTCTATATCTAAATTAAAGAGTAGAAATATTCTCTGATGTTGCTCCTTGTCCCAATTTCGTGAACTTTGGTCCGCTTCGATTGTACGCACCGCTGACTCCGTGCGCGCCCTTACTCAAATTAATTTTATTAAAATCCTTCTTCCTTACGCACAGCAAATTGTTTCTTAGGGGCAAGCTCTTAGAGTATATATTACACGGGTGTAGTTTATCAAAGGTTTCCAGTAAATGAAAGGCCGCTTATATTTTTATCATTTATTTTATCCGGTATACGAGTTTCCATAACACATGGCGATGAATATATGGATTCTGTACATTTAATATCAAAGTAAACAATATATAATAAGATGTAAATATGCATGACAGTCAGTATGTATCTCTATATCATAAATAATGTGTTGGCACCGAGTACGCAATGATGATCTGACCATCGGATGGACGCTCAACGTGAGAGAAGGTGACGAGAGGGCGCGCCGCACCCCGCCAGACTCCAGGGTTGCCTAGGCTCCAAACCAACACTAATATATTTGAAAGTAACTTGTTACGTCTGTTTGTTAGTTGTTACAAGTTAGTTTGTACAGATGTAGAAGATATAAAAATTTGAATGGGAGATATTGGAAGCAGATCAAATCGAAAGCACCGGCTTGTTTATATTATATTATCATTCAGACAGGCTTTATTTACAATTTATAAACTGGTTTTCCTCATTGGCATCTCCCCGAATACTCTAAGTTACCAAAACAAAATATAAAAACAGCTGGGCACAAAACCTTTTTACTACAGACGGGACTTTTTTTACTGAAATGAACCTTTTTTTACCAGTCCATTGTGCAACCATTGCTCTTGCTCTTTTTCGTGAACACTTTTCACTTGGAATGAGAGCTACTGTAATAATGTGCGGTAAGTTTAACACGAGCGGGACTAACCGTCACCGCTGGACTTTCAAATTGAGATCTTTTTGTGTAAGCATAATATGATGAATAATTTTGGACTTTATATTTCGTATATCTTTTATGACTAGAACATAATATTTAAGGACTCTTGATGTTACAATTGTTTTCCCAATTTTGGCAGTAGCAAGTGAATAACAAGTTTTACTTTCAATGTGGTTTATGCTTTTTGTTTAAAGTCAGGATAAATTCAGCTAGAAGTCTGGCAACCCTAGAAATCATTCAAGATGTATACACACCGCCACTGATCGCAGATCATGTTATTGAGTGTGGTCGCGATAATATGTTTATTTCCTGCTTTCTAAAGTCTCGTAGCTGTGATAACATACCACTCGGTTAAAATATGTTTTAATTTTGAGTGGTTACCTACTTAGCGAGATGTTACCAGAAATATACAGACTATGAAAGAAACACATTGAGTGCAATATAGTAAAATAATTATAAACATCATAGACTGGAATAAGCCCTTAATAATTGCAATTCCAAGTACTTATAGTGCAATTGCTTATAATTGAATATCTCTCAAAGACAAAGCTATAATTAGGTTAATTTCAATTATAATTGCAATTAATGAGATGCTTTTTCCTTCTTATTCTAAATTCTAAATGTAATGAGATTTAAGAACAAACAGCCGTCCTCTTCGATTTACACATATTTTCAATTTATTGCTTTAACATTAGTGTCTAAAACTCCATTTTGAAGTATAAAATAATGATTAAATCATAATCAAATAATATGTAACACACAGATCTTTCTACTAACTCAACGTGTTTCAATCTTCAAGCTCTGAATGGTCTGACTCCCACTAGATATTTTCACCGAGGTGTACCACGTGACGGGGCTCAGTTCGGACCCTGTACATCCGAGGTGCGGGGGCCGCGGAGCTTCTACTACCGGCTACCGGCAATCTACAGGACATCGAAGGGGGAGCACGGGGCGGGAGGGGAAAAGGGTGAGAGGCACTACGAGCACAATGCGTGGACTGCTGGTGACGACTTAACACGTGACGAGCTTTAGTTATTTTAAGAGAACGTAACTGACGTGTACACAAGAGGTATAAAACTCGTCTTATGTTAGCTCCATTCTCCACAATCGAGTAAATTTCAATCAATTGATGAAATCAGTAATGGTAAAACGAACAGCCAATTACCTGAACTCACTGTCAATTTCAATCAGGCACAGCTCTAATTTGTTTTGACATCAATAACGTTGTTTGACATTTACTCGACCGTGTATCGGCAGCCACACACAGGAGAGCTGCTGAGCAACACTAGTGAGGGTCGCGCATGTCCGTGCACGGACGCGCACGCACTCTACGGGCCTCCTTATCTATCTACACCGAGCCGCAATGGACGGAACATTACGTTTTCCACATACCCAGGTACATAAACGAAACGATCTTTTTTTATTTTAAATATATTAATTATATTTTCCAAACTCATTGTCCAATTGACGATAAAACGCTCAGAGACGGTACAAAAATACATCTCGCTACACCTAATTAAACTAACGATAAATGGCTTGTAAGATCGACGATAACACGTGACGTGACGTGCCATGCCCGCGACGCACCCGCGCCTCCGCTCATATCACAACTCTTAACAACAACAACTAACGAGGGGGCATACAGGCATGCACGCATGCAAGTATGCATGCATGTAAATATGCACGCATGCAAGTATGCACGCATGTACGCACGCCCCATAAGAGACAGAGAGTCCAACAGTATAGAGAGGGAATGAGGAATGTCACTAAACACAATCTAAGGAAAACTAACGTCGAGAGCTGACGTCGGCATAACATCGAACATTTGATAAAAATTTGTCACACTTATACGCTACTAGATCGTTGCAAAACCTGTGGTAGCAAATATTAGAAGTACTTCATTCATACAAAAACACGGCCGATCTAAACGGACGTCTAAAATTGACATCGAAATTTACACAATTCAGTTAAGCTATGATTCACTTCCATATTTTATTTGTTAAGAATTTGACATCTATACAAAATATATAATAGTTATACGCTAGCAGAGTATTGCTTGTACCTAGCGCGGGACGCGCCTCAACACTCTTCACTTAACCTATAAATTTATCATTTGGTGTTCACATTGCTCTAGTAATTCACATTCCATTATCAATACGAACGTAACGTACATACATAACATTTATAATCAATATAAGAAAAATCTATTATAAAATATCAACAATTTGGCACATTTCTTTCCTGTTTCTAAATTACGCGTAGGAAATAAAGTGGACACACAGGAGACACAGATCAAGCGCGGAGTGAGGAAAAGTGTGGTCTATGACACATACAAACATATATATATATAGTACAGAGACAGAAAAAAATAAAAAATGGAGATAAAGATTAGGCCAGGACACGTCCGCCGTTGACACTTAAATGAACTGTTTCACTAATTTTTTCTAACTGGCCATAATTTTTGGCACTTCTTATTGTTCTTAAACTGACCTCAAAAAGAGTGAGTATATGTGAGAATAAATTGAATAAAAATGTGGTACAATCAAACCTGTTCTGTTCCCACATTCTGCATTTCGAGTTACGTTACTTATATTCTGAGTCTGCGGTCTGTCCATTTTGATGACGGATGTCCCAACTTGGGCTTTTGCTTTTGTTGGCTTAAAACTCGTTCCAAAGTAAGTGTCACGGCGAACGCGTGAGTAGTACTTAATACGAGTATAGACACCCTACATAACAACTGATACTTACATAGTTCTACGAAGACTAGAATAGGAGATAGATAGATCACCACCTGGCAGCAGGCGACAAGGGATCCGCGACGGACGGCGCAACAATTGTGTTGTGAGATTTGGACGACCCCAGACAGTATCGCGACCCGCAGCACTCAAAGACGCTCAAAGGCCGCGTTGTGATATTCGCTTTTGACAAAGGTTAGTTGCCAGACGCTCACGGACAAAGCGAATCACGTAACAATCGCGGCTTAACTAAGCGTCGCAGTGTGCTCGAGGCGCTGGGGGAACGAACCTACTGCTAGAAAATAATTACATTACATTCATAGCGACGCGTTCAATAGTTTCCCACGAGTTCTTGAAGTAAATCCAGGGGTAACGTCTCACACACTGAGTTCGTTTTTTTTTTTCACTGCAACCGATCAGTATCGCATGGAGTAGCTGATGTCGCACTTAATAAATAAATAGACATTGATGAGGAGCAGCAAGTAGGAGCGGTGGCGGAGCGCACAGCTCGCGTTGTGCAGCGCGCGCACGGTGTGGCGCGCGGGCGCCGGGGACACGGGCGCGGCGCGGCGCGGGAACACCGCCACCGCGCCGCCCGCCGGGGCCGCTGCTACGCACCACACCTGGTGAATACATGCACGGTATCACCATCACTTTAAAAAAGTACATTTAGGGAATGACAAATTGAGAAATAAATACATTAGAGAAAGCCTGAAAGTAGCACTAGTAGATGCAAGGCTAGAGAGCAATGGATTATTTCTTTACGGACTTGTGTTGGAAGAGATGTAGAGGCAGGCGGTATCTTTACTCGGATTACGAAACTTCTGAATATTTCGTTAGAAAATTTTGTCAGGGTTGCACAATTCGTAAGATGAAGTGATTTGAACCAGGGGAGTCGATACCTCGTCGGGCTCGGCGACGTGCAGCACGGCGCGCCAGCAGTGCTGCGGCAGGTCGGGCGCGAGCGCGGCGGGCAGCGCGCCGCCCGCGCCCCCGCCCCGCAGCCACAGCACGCGCACGCCGCGCCCGCACGCGCCGCACTCCAGCCGCCACCCGCCGCGCCACGGCGTCGCGCTCAGGGCTGTGGCGGTCGCACCACCTGAACGTGTGCCAGATATGTTGTACACATCGACTGTTTGTATATTGTCCTTACTGAAGTAAACGTTCTTAGAGGATAAGGCGGTAATAGGTAAGGATATGTTGTATTAGAATTCAGAGAAAATTTTAAGGGATTCCTCCTATTTCGGCATATTTAATTGCATACAGAAGAAAAAGACTGAAATCAATAAAACTGATTAATGCTTTCCCGAAACGAGTTTCTTCTAACTTCATTTCTCTAGCGTAGGTACAGATACCGCTCGCGCAACTGGGTAATAACTGCGTCATTCTCATACCGGTAACTTTGAGGGTGACTCGTTTGAGCTCCCGCAGCCTCATCAGATCTGGGCCTCGCGCTCCGACGCACCGGTACTCGCCGCCTTCCTGGTACAGCGCGTCTTTTATACCTGCACAACAAACGACATCTTTTCATCTATTCTTGAATCTTTTGTAGTTACTACTACTACACATTCTGATGGTAAGTGTCTACCGACGACTATGGACATCTACGACTCAAGAGTCAGACAGGACAGGGGGGGTGGTCGGCCTCCGGCCTCGATGAACTACGAAACAATTGGTTAACATCAGTCGAGCCCTCCTCTATAAGCTTATTATGATAGACACATATTATTTTATTAGAGCATTATTTTATGATAGACACATTCTATCTCTAGTTTAGAGTATACCTGTTGACTAAGTTTCTGAGAACAGTTATAGTTATTTAAAACTGAACGCTGACATTCACATAACATAATAGTATAATCACAGCTTACACTTTTCAAGATAGATAATTAGATAAAGATTATAGTCGCATCGCCGATCTCAACAGTTCCTTTACCTGCGATATGTAACTCACCCAAGACTCCGTGAGCATGGTGCGAGCCGGCTGGCGCCCACGACTCGCTGGAGTTGCCTACCACGCGCCGCCACCAGCAGCCAACGGTGCCTGATGAAGGTAAACCATCTAAGAGACGTCCACTTTTAATGATATAGCAAGTTTTTTTGTTTTTGAAACGCCATGTGGTAGTTTCTGGGTTAAACTAACTCGGGATGAAAGAACAACTTTCAACATATTCAAGAAATCATCTAAAATGACCAGAAAGGTACTCGTAGAAGACAGTAGACGATGGCAGTGATGATATTTGCTTGGGTGATGTTAAAAGAGTTTCATTTATTTTCTTACGAAAATAATAACGGGACTTACCCTTCGGGCAGTGTAGTTGCACATTCCCTCCTAGAGGTACTTCCACTTTCTGATGGTCTGGCTCCTCTTCTTCTTGCTCTGTTTCTGTTACCGTTTCTGTGATTTCCTCTGGTGCCGCTAAAAATTGTTTTTAGAATTTGAACACGCAGTCATCAACTTTTTTCGAATAAATGTAAATTGCGTTTGCAATGAACTGCTATTTATATATGCTATATTGCTAAATTTTTTTTGTCATAGCTACAGCTGCGGTCTGCTCTCGGACTGTTCATGCAAATTACTTTATTGTGAGAACACTGAATCAAAAATAGATAATGTTTAACTTACAAATAACATTGAGATAATATCCAATAGAGGAGTACTCCGTGTCTAGCCAGGTGGCCCTGCAGCGGTACCAGCCCGCGTGGGAACCCCGCAATGCAGCCCAACGCAGTGTGGCCGAGCCCCGAGCTGCCTCGTCACCAGCTTCCAGTGGGGGAGGAGAACTGTACGAGACGAACCATAGCTCAAATTCGAACTTAAAATAAAATATGTAGGTAGCTATTCAAACTGTATTAAATCTCAAATCAAATGTATCAGTCCTCACTTATATTGGCATATTGAGAAGTCCATAAAGTACATTACAGTACAATTATTTCTCTACCGCGTGTAACAAAACATTCGTGAAATAAGAGGTCATGTAATGTTAACATACGGTCATGTTACAACAGGACAACAGTCGTTTTTCGCGTGTTACCGTCTTTATCAACAACAGCTGTGGTCCTTACTCAGCTGTTTCTGTAATATCTTACCACATTCACACAAGGTAATCTAGGCCCAAACTAAGCAGAGATTGTACTATGGCTACTAGACAACTGATATAAATATATATATACTATAATATATTTTTATTGTAAATACATACATATTATGCGTAGAAATACCCAGACCAAATCAAATATTAAATGTTCATGCACGCAAATGTTTCACTTGAGCAGGACTCGAACCCGCGACTTTTGGCACATCGTCACACAAACTACTACGCCATGCGGCCGTCGTGCGATAATGATATTAGCTTAATAGGAACACTTTAGATACTTCGTGACATTGTATAGTTTACATAATTTATAAGAATAGATAGCATATGACAACGGAAAAGAGATTAAGGAAAACACAAAAGTACACGATCATGTCTGTGTCTGTGGGCAAAGTAAACGTGAGTGGTTTTTAAAGTTGCAACAAATTTTCTGCAGCCTCACCCACAATTTTTTGTTCTACTAACCCAACACCCTTATTTAAGAAGTGGAGATGACACTGTTGTCCCGTTGTCACATCGTCACTGAGGCAAAAGATTAGTCAAAATCGTACCGATTTAACGTTTAGTTATGGTATATTTTTGTGATAGTTCAAAACAATATATTACAAGTCGGCGCTATGGTCCTATGCCTTTTTTTTAATTTTTTAAACATTCTTCAACATCATGTAATCCTAATAGCTGTCCTACTCGAAACGTTAATGAGTACTTTTAATTATAACCTTTCAACAAAAGTCATTTCAAGTGAAACTAATTTCGAAACCTGATTTCGACAGGAGCCGAAGGGTAAATTTGAAATGGAAGGGACACGGCATCAGGGGATTTGTGTCACTCGAATTATGAGAAAATGATCTCAGCCGGGACATTTCTGAGAAAGTTTCTTAACTGTAATAAAACTAAATTAAGTGAAAATAGGAGTATATAAAGTTTAATTTACTGTATTTATATTTACGAATAATAAAATTGTAGTGGGATTATTATAATACATTGTCCAATCCAGGTTTATAAACTAATATTACGCTGCCCGTTTCGATTTCAGGAAAATAAATGCAAATTTAATTCCAGAAAGGTTTTAGGGCCGATACAGAGATTAAAACATTAATCCGAATTGAGCCACTAAACTCAACAAGAGTTTATTTACAGGCCACAATCCGTCAGCAGGTGAAACAAAACACGAGGGCCGCTCAAGAGCGCCGCACGGATCAATTAGCCGGTAACACGGGCCGGTTCACCTAAACACAAACTACACGTCGTCGTATATAAAATAAGGTTTAATTTAAACAGATGTTAGAAAGGTATTTACCATTAGCTCGAGGGATTATCAAACAACTCGTACAATTAATGTTTGAACACGTATTAATTTCATAATCTACCTTGAATAATATATTTATGGTAGCTCTGCTGAAATATTGACGAATGTAAAACCCCAATGGATATGTAATGGACTACCTTTTATCGCGCCCGCCATAATGTAGTGGCAATATTTCTAGACAAAATGATGCTACTGAAAATACAGCTTTTGAATTGAACCTTACGAGGATATGACCCTCGAGACAACTAGTAAGAAAATGTATTTAATGAAATATGATTTAGTTTCAACATCTTCTGTGCGGTGATTGAAATTATCTTTGCTTCCAATATTCAAGAGTCAGAATGAACAGCTACTACTCGAAGTAGCTGTACTGTGAAAGTGAATTATGTTGAAATGCCTTACTAAAGAACTTGAAATGATTGTAAGCTCCTATCATATCTGCCTTAAAACTATCTATTACCTAAGATTAAGCTGCAAAGATTGTAAAAGGAACTGACCTCGTAGGGTTGGCATCGTCTCTGAGCCACCAGGCTCTCGCTGGGGGATTGGCGTCTACGTCACAGCGCAACGCCGCGGCTCCGCCAGCAGACAGAGACACGCCGAATCCTGGCCAGCGCGATATCACGAATGATGGAGGATCTATACAGGGATGTTAGATTGTGGTTAGTCAAAGCTGGTACAGATGCCGCTAAAAGGCTCTAAATGCTAGTATTTGGAAAAAATGTTGGTGCACTCACAATAACGTTGTATTAATAATAATAATAAATCGTTTATTTTGTATGTTCTTCTAAATGAAATTTAATTTAGAGTTATCGAAGAAATTCTTAACTATTTAAAAACAAAATCATACCTGATAAAAAAATAACAATTATTTTTAAATTTTATCTATAATAATTATTATTATTACTCTAATTATGCGTTGACGTTTTTATTATTAGATCTTATAAATATCTTATACATAATTTGAAAAAAAATAAAATAATAATCAATCGTGAGTTACATTGACCGCATTTTTATAATATTTTCTGACAAAATCATACTCGTCATCCATGGATATTTCTAATTCTAATAATTGATTATAATAATAAGTTTATTAGCATAAATGATGAATATACAAAAGATGTTAAGTAGATTAAATAATTAGAACAGTGCCCCGAGCACGAACAACTTGCGAAAAAGTATTCGTATCGTCTTCGACAAAATTTGTATGACATTTGTGCAGCGCCCCTATCGTGCGTAAAAGTAACTAATTTTGGCAGCACGAACGTTTCGAATTTACTTTCGTATCGTCAACGTATCGTCAACGTATCGTCAAGCATTCGATACGTTACACTTTATAAAGAAAATTGGCAGCACGAATGAAATTTTGACGTACGTTCGATGGCTGGCTATCGAGCACCTGTCAAACTTAGTCGAATGTTTATTCACCTAAGATTTAGCCGTGAGAAAAGTTTCGAAATAATCAATTTCTTTTAAAACTATTATTTTCAAGTATTAACGGTTATTTTTTATAGAGATAAAATGCAAAGACCGCCGCTTTAGTCCTATGTATGTTCTTGTCGCAAGTTGAATTGAAAATAAAGGTATTCAACAACTAGATTCGAGGTGAGCAAAATCTTGTTTTATCTATAAAGTGTAAACTAAATATTTGTCAGAAACATTTGAAGAAACTTCTACTATATTAATAAAATGTAGTATACTTAGTATGTACCTATATATCTATTAATCAAATTAATTATTTTTTAGTGAAATGAAGCGAAGAGAAAAACAAAGAAAGATAAAAGTGAAGAAAAATCTGTCTGTTTGTAATATAAAATAATAGGTTTTTTTAATGCTCACACGGTTTTTTGCAAGATACCTATGCCTAAAAACCAGTCTAACTATTTTTTTGGTTCGGGTAATCTTCAAAACGGCAAACGGCGGTAGCTGTCTATATAAGGAGTAATTTAGGCTAAAAAACTTTGCCCGGTCCGGGAATCGAACCCACTAAGGCAGCGCTTTTCAAATTCTACGCAAACGATGTTTCGGGCACCAGCTAGTCCTTTAAATTTAAATGACAACGAATTTCAAAATATATCGCTTTAAGCTAAGAAGTAGTTTGACTTAACCAACGAAATAACTAAAAATGGTTATTTCGTTGCGTTATATGCCGTGGAAGTGGGGGCGAGGGGTATAAGAGCTAACTCCCTCTATAATCTGTTTAATGACCTTGGATTGCTCAGTAAGGTTTTTCCTTGAACAAATATCCAAAGCGCATTGCTAGGCTCGTACCAAATTAGGTTAGATAGAGGGGGTTACCCAGCAGACAGGGATGAAAGGTATATAGTAAAAAATGAGCTAGTATGAATATTTTTTATTTACCATAATTTTAAAATGAATTATACAGAGTTGGTTTTTATACATTACATACATACATACATACATGTTATTTACAGAGAACATTATTTACTTTGAAAAAGTTATATGTCTAGTTAATAATTTTAATTTTATTTTACACAATTACGATTCTATTAACGGTTAAAATATCATTGCTTGTTTTGAGTTTATTTTTCTTCAGGAGACTTCCACTCCTCGCCACTGCGGTGACTGGAGAAGACTGAGAATGAACCTCAGATGCTGGTAAAGGAGGAGCCACAGTTGGTTGGCTGCTTGAGCCCCCAGTATTCCAATCTACAACAAAATATTACAACATTTATTACTTATATAATAACGAATATAATATTTTCAGACATCTGACACACAACACCATATACATAGTTTCAAACTAAGTAGAACTTGTACTATGAAACCTAGATTGACTGATATGAGACATTAGTTGTCCCTGGTATGTTTATCTGTAGGATTGCTATGGTGGTGTTTTTAATTTCTTTTCATTTCATTTTTTCATTTATAAAGTGACAGATTTTATCTATATTTACAATTGAAACTTTATTTTAATGTCAAGTAGCAGTGTAAGTCTCATAACAACGAGAAATTGAATTATAAATATGAAATTTATAATATTCTCAAACATCACATCGTTATTTTACATTATAGTACATTGAGTATTGCAAATAGTAAATTAAATAAACTCACCTTTCAAGAAGTTACACCATAGCCACGTATTGTAAATGGCTTGTAGGCACTGACTTTTTTGATGTTGGGATTTTTGGCGCAGATGATGATGAAACACGTCTTCGTCTGTGCTGTTCCACAGTTCGATTTATTGTGGCACGACTTACTGTGGTTTATTTTAAAGAAATCTTTATCAGTTTCTTTTCACATAAGACAACGGTCTAGTGGTATACGACTTACTCGTAGCTATTATTGGAAGCTTAGATTTTTGTCACAATCGACAGCCAACACGACGTAATAATACAAATAATATTTTCTATAAAATGCTTCTTAAAGTTTCAAGGTTTACAAATAATCTTAAACTTGGAGATGAATTTACAATAAAAATAATAAACAATTTACAGACATAGCGTCGTATCTATGTCAATAAATTGTCAAGTGGAGACGTGTTATTCAGAAACCGAAAAAAATGTCATAATAATTATTTTAATTCTACAAAATATACTACATTTTAAAATCTCCCATACCTAATTTAAGATTTATTATGTGTTTATATAAGTAAATTTTGTTTAAATTGTCAATAAATAGGTAGTTTAACCGAAAGTAATAAAAAAATCACTATTTCATTATGTTTTCGAACGCATAGTTCATTCAATAAGATGTTGAATTTGTTCTTAAGTGCACATCCTTATTTACGTTAGGATGACGTCACTAACGTAATCGTATCGAGCTCTCGATACCTTAACGTTAGTGCTTCGTGCTACCGCCTATCGTAAAACTCCGTAAACGTATCGAAGACTCGATACGTTTACGATACGCATTCGACATTTTTTCGTGCTCGGGGCACAGGACACATTTCAGCATGTAAATATTTAGTAGGAAGGTTAAAATAACAAAAACATAGCAACGAGATAGTTTTGAGTTTGTAGTTGTTAATTAGCACAACGCATTTCTAAAATGAAAAGACCGAGTACTCATTTTTTTAACAGAATAAAAGCACTGCTCAATTAGCCGTTTCTTTAGTTCAACTCAATGTATGGTATGGACGTTTACAAAATGTTCAGATAATGCGTTGTAAATAAGTTGTGCCATGTACACACAACTTCGCAGTCCCCGACGAACAAAATCGTAATAGGAAAATAACAATTTTACAGGAGCAAATAAAAACTGAATATCTTGAATACTATCAAGACTAAAAAGAAGATTCTTTTATCAAAAATAAGGAAATATTTTTTTGCACTAGATTTTTACTAAATTTTTATCATAAATTTTCTTTATCAGTAAGAAAATTGTGAAAATGTCCATTACTGAAATAAGCTATGGAAAAAATTAACGCAAACTAACTTTACGATAGTGTTCGACTGTAATCACAAATCGGTGTTGCTGTAGTAATCGTTCATTATGATATTGTTCCATGGTAAATATGAATATACTTTATATTCGTAAAATGACATTGCAATCGTATTCGATGATATAACTGACTTTAATATTACGGTAAACATAAATTACATGCTTATTCGATGATCATTTTTAGGTGTTATAACCATTTCGGTACCTATGTATAAATTCTGATTCTGATTCTGTCATTTTTCCCTCGAACAATATGGTAATAGCCGCTTACTCTAAAATGTTGACTTTTGAGATTTGGTAATAGGTTTTTGCGTTATTGATCGTGTAAATTTTTCACTTATGTTATACGTTGAACAAAAACATAAAGATCATTATTGAATGGATAAATCCAAAAGTATTCATCGCCCGATCATAAAAAAAATTCAATGATTGTAATAGGGTGTGTAGATAACGAATATCTAATAAACCCGATTCTATCGTAATAGCGATTACCATAGTGTTCGTCGGGGACTGCGACTTGCTCTAACCATCTCTAAACGAGGTACAAGCATTTTTAAATAGCTTTGATTTATTTTACGCTTATTTGTGTTATAGCTTTAAACTTAGAAATTGTTGGATACAATATTATTTTTAGTGTATGATCAATGTAGAAAGTTGGTATTTTTGCGTACCAACACAATATTTAGTTGGTACATAGTATAAGACCCTGAAAAATGGTACGTGTACCAAGAAATTGGTACGTCTGACATCCCTATGAGAATCAAAGATCGTCAAAAAAATATATGGTACAATATGTCTGATCCTAACAATAAATATAATAGGAATAAGGCATGTAGTATATCTACTAACTGTATTATTGTAAAGTTCACGAACCTTAACTTTAAACGTATCACGATTGCTCTGGACATCCTTATCTCAGGGTCGAGGCATCCCATAGTGAAATAGACTTTACACCAAAGTAAAAATGAACTAGAGAAGTAGTTTTGGGTGGAAGCAAAATTAAACTTGTGAAGAAAATATTTCTTTGATAGTTGGAATGCAGAAACTGAAGCTATTCGATTCTTTAACTTGGCGGAGTCACTGAAAAGTCTTGTTCGTCTCAAAAGGCTGGAAGGACACGGAATCGCAGCCCTCATGGGATCGCATCAACACAGTGTCAAGTCCCTAATGCTTTAAAAAAAACAATCTTCCTGGTTAAGACGACATAAATGTTGTTTATACGCCATATACTTTAAAACCAATAATTAGATTGTTTCAAATTAACTGAGGATTGTAAAGTTTACCTGGAACAACAATGTGTTTTGTAGTTACAAACTATAAATGAACTGCTAAGTATTGCCACCTACTACAGGTGGCTACACTACTCATAAATCATAGATCTTCTTTGTTTTATAGTAGTTAATCTAATAAATCATAAAATCTCATAAATCATAGATCTTCTTTCTTTTAAATAGAGTTTACTGCTATTAAATAATCTGGATCTGCGATAATCCGCATCCGTCGCATAATTGATACAAGCAAAATAAATCAATTGCTGCCGACAACAGACTTACTACATGTATTGCGTATACCACAGAGGAAGAGGTGTGTGCATAAAACCCAGAAGACATCAAAAAAAAAAGTAAAGTAAAGTTATAAAGTCACTTGCATTCTGGGTTTTTGAAGTCGCAATAAATGCATATCTTGTGTAGTGGTCTACTAAAAGATGTAGGTATTTTTTTGTAGACCTAGATCCTCCAAAGCCACCAATAGTATCCATTGACATTATTTGAAATGGTTTTGTAGCTGGTCCCAGTTGTGACATTAATCCAATTTTTTTTTGACATCTTGATTTATTTTTTATGCATATTTCACATGTTTTACAAATATTTACAATATTTTTTGTTAGGTTTATAGCTGTATATATAGAACAACAACATTCTATCTTCTGTAACATAAACTGGTTACTATAACAACTACAACAAAACACTTGTGTAGTCTCACTAATAGTAATTGTACTATCGCAACTCCGTGAACAGCATCATACCGTAAGACTCCATCAAGAACAGCTATTTCACAGATTGGCCGAACTTTCAAATAGTATTACTACCACAACCTAAAGTATTAGTTCCCAAACCTCAAAGCGTTACAGTGAGAACCAAGAGAAGCGAAGGGGGAGGAGGGGTAACAATCCACAGCCAGTAATCACACGGGCAAATATTTGAGTAGCGCTAACTTTCACAATCACTAACACACATAGGATCGTCGAACGCCCCCAACTATCGAACAAACCGATATTGAATACATTAAGGGTTCGGCAAACGAGACATTTATCGTAGCCAAAAAACTTTTATGAGTAGGAACTGTGGGTTCAAGAGGAATGATAATGTGTAATTTGTGAATCTAAATTTTAGGTGGACATGATTATTTATACATCCCTATAACAGGAAAAAGAACACCATGAGACCACACTCCACACACAAGAGCGAGCTTCTTAGTTTAGTGGGTAGACCGGTTCTCCGGGAGTCCCACACACGCCCTACGTTTCCCCAAAGGAGGGTATGGCGCGAAAAGCATTCCCCGCGTGAAAACAAAAAAAAGGTTACACCTGGTATCCCGGTTACTGGTACCCGAGTCAGCGTGCGGTTTATAGTCGGTTGGAGTCTGACTTAACCATCCCATGGGTCGCCTGAGTAGAACTTAGCAACATTAAGTTGCCCGTCTGTAAATTCACACAATCTACTAGGTATGTAGTGGTGGTATGCTCACTATGTAAACATGTGATTTGCGTTGTTTTGTCGTGTTGATGCGCCTAACTCCTTACTTGTTGACTTGTGTGTTTGTTCGAATCTATGTTTATACATTTATTGCGTCACAAACAACTGAATGGAATCTTCAGAAGTTAGTTATATGTGACGAACTATACGTACGTCATTCAATTCAGATTTATAAATTGTTACACTTTGTTAGCGCTTTGACAACAAACTAGATACAGATAGATAGACAGATTCAAGAAGCTGAACTTTGAAATTAGGATCGAATACTCAAATTCTTTACTAAAGACTGAATATTTTACAGTCTCTCTACTGGCTCAGATCATGTTTTTTCCTATGTCACTAACAAATAAAAATAGTAAATCAAACAGTATATAAACACACCTGAAACCAAGGGCAAACATTACTTTTTGCCCTTGCAATAAATGTTTACCTGCTCACGTTTTTGAAAATATACATTAGTATTAGCGCCGATAGTGTTGTCGCTTATAGAAAGGTGCTATCGGATCGGATAGTAGTCGACCACTGTTATATAATATGTAAAGGTGAATCCTTTGCCAGTCATTTAAACTATTATAAAGTAAATTGTCACTAATAAATACATCACATCTATTACATTAAATAAAAGTTCTTCTATAATATTGAGTTCAGTTTAGACCAAACTCAAACTCTCTTTATACGATAAAAAATAAAAAGTTTGAAATCGTCTTTTGTGTAGACTCTAAAGTCATAGATCAACACACACAAAAGCAACAATCTCTGTTTTGTCAAATAGCAAGTAAATGACTAGACTCTTTTGTGTGTTCATATTTCATGATGGCAACAATATCAAATTGTTGTTTTAGGTGTTGAAGTATGAACAACAACGAAACATCAATACTTTGACCTCGATGTAGACCCAACTGTTCACAAGTTTACATAAACTTGGTCCCGAGTTTCTTGTAATCAATCTGATATTCATGAAATTTTCCTTCCATTAAACCTAAAATATTTACTATGACATTTGGAACGACTAACCTTCAGATAGTAAATAGTCAGTCAGCCTTATTTTAGTTACAACAAGTAATTTGCTTACTTAATAGGTTTACTTTATATCAAGAGAATTCTTGATATAAAATAAAGGACCTTAGGTATAGGCAAGTCTGAAAAACATAACCTTCCTCCGACCTTTGGAAGATATTAAGAGATCGCCCAATCAAATGTCGGACGTTACAGTTCCTGGCAGATCAACCTCGTCCAAATATTAAAGGTTTTGAGTTTTCTCCATTTGAAAGAGGTGTGTTCAAAAATATAATCCTCTCAATCAAATCCAATGCAATGGGAAGTGATAACATTAACCGGCGCATGATCATTCTTATCCTCGATTACCTTCTTCCTGTGCTTAAAACAAATTTTTCGCTTGAATCAGAGAATTTTTCTCTCAGCGTGGCGTAAAGCATTCGTCTCTCCCTTCCCAAGATCCCGAATCCTACACTCCTTAATCATCTTCGCCCTATCTCCATCCTTCCCTTCCTATCTAAAGTCCTCGAGGCCTATGTGAACATACAACTATACCAACATTTTTTTTTGAAACAACCTACTAAGCCCTTTCTAATCGGGGTTCAGGGCCGGGCATAGGACAACTTCTGCTCTGCTAAAAGTGACTGCTGACATCCGAGCAGGAATTGAGAAATCCAAAGCAACAGTTTTGTGTTGGCTTTGGTGGACTTCTCAAATGCATGTAACTCTGTCAGTCACGATATCCTTTTGTCTATCCTGTCCTATCTCATGATTACGCCTGATACACTGGACTGGTTCTCGTCTTATCTTTAGGTTGGCGTGAACTCGAAACTCGAACACTGTGGTCCCGTCCCGCAAGGTAGCATTTTCTCTCCTCTATTATTTTCAATATTTATCAATTTCATTACTCCAAACCTTCAATGTGCGTACCATCTTCACGCGTATGATTTGCAGCTCTATTATCAAGACTCGATAGACAACATAGACGAGGTCATCCTGGAGGCTATTAGGTTTCAGCACCACCCTAAGGTAGACAGGGAGAGAATGCCTATGGTATTAAGTCCACCATTGTACAACTCATATTTGTGCATTAAGAAATAAAATAAAATAAAATAAAAATGAAGGAAAAAAAGTGCGTAGGCGGCGAGATTTATTTGAGTAGTTATGACCAAGTTTGCCTTTTCATTTTAAGTACGCCTAACTCGTAACACTATAGTTTTGAGCCGGAGGACCACGGAACCCACGTTACGCCATAAACCAGAAATAGAGAAACATAAATACAATTAATTGCAATGTTGGTTTAAATATATTAGGTAATTTAAACGAGAAGCGAACTCTAAAAAGTTGTTAACAGGTAATAATTGTCATGTCACTATAATATTGTAAAACTGATTTCATGGTTCAGCAGCTTGAAATGATCAATAAGTGAAATAAATTAATACAGCCATTTCGATTTTAATACAAGGAAGCCACTTGTTCGATGTAGAAAAATACACACGAGACATTGTTAAAGATGAACACTATTAAGTTACACAGAAGGAAAAAAGGCTACTGAAAGAAATACACTCACAAGTAACATGAATCTCAAGCTTGGCCGCCATCACATGCAAGGGTCCATTCAAGGACGCGCTCTTCGGTGCTGATGGTGCCGGCTGTGAGGGGCTCGCCGGCGACGCGGCAGGTGCGCTGGAACGGGCTGGTGTGCGCTGCCGGGCCTCACACATGAGGGTCGCGTTGTGTAGTTCTCGTGCAGCAGTCACCACCGCGTGAGACACCGACACACCCTCTAAACAGTCAAAGGGCGTATTACCATTACTTATTTTAATCAGTATACAAGCAACATCCTTGGCGGAGTAGATGAAGCATGTAATTTTCAATCAAGATCAAGGTGACATGAATGCTTATCACCCGACCAAATCTATCTATTTTCATTACAGTACTTATGTTAAGTTAGTTCACATAAGCATCATGACTTCGGTTTAAAGATCTTTATTTCTCATTAAGACATAGTCACTTACATGAGAACAATATAAGAAAAAAATAAGTTATGTTAATCCGGTGCAGGTATTTTTAAGTTAGAAAACACTCATTAAATGATGGTTGTCGAATAATGCGAGCTCGGTACTGAATGAATGTGATGTCAAACCAGTAACTGGTGGTGGTTAAGTGCGGTTTTACGTTCTTACAATATTAATAAAAGTGTAGCTCGCTAGCTTTTTTTTTTAATATTAACGTGTGATAATAATGTAAGTAACATTTCTTCAAAGTAACGTTTTGATTATGTGACTCTGAAGATTTACACTTTCACAATGATTATAATACGTTAAACGTATTTGTGCGTTTTGATTATCTATATATATATATAAGAGATTACCACGTATATAGTCACTCATCACGATATCTCTGCAACAATTATAGCAAAAGACTTGAAATTTGGTAGGAATATTCTTTTCACAGAGTAGAGGTCAGCTAAGAACGGATTTTAAGAAATTCAAAAAAAAATTTAGATATATAGGCTAAATAGCAAAAACAACGTTTGCAGGGTCAGCTAGTACGTCTATAACAGTGGTAGTACATAGAGCATGTAAACAAATTTAAACAGATTCTCATTAACACTTGGTTTTACAAACGGTCACTGATTACTTTGTGCGACTGGCGACAATGTTTATCAATTAAGCGCTGAGAATTGAGAGGTAGCTCCAACTTTCCATAAGTTATTTTGAAGGACAGACTTTCGGCACTTTATGATGAATAAGTACCTCTGGGCACGGTTCACTTTCAATACCGACACGATTCACAGCAAACGCATAAAATTGCAGTAAATTCTATAGAAGTATGATAGATAGATAGATAGATAACTCTTTATTTGCACACTAAATTACAGAATTACAAGAAAGGAACACAGCGATCAAATATCGAGTGTACAAAGGGCAGCCTTATTGCTAAATGCAATTTCTTCCAGGCAACCTTAGGATGGATCAAAAGTTGCAGAGAGACAGTAGTAGTTGAATATCTGCATTTCTGTATGAGTTATTTTTATCTATTTAACAAAACCCACGGTTATAAATAGTGATGTCAGTAATTATTCACGAGCGTCCAGGGGGCCAAGAAATATTTCAGTGGCTGGAAACAGATGAAATAAGTTAACTCGATGCACATTCCTGAAAACATTTCATTTGTTTACCCGATAATTTAAACATCTTTATTCTCTCTTACGAAATATTAACATTCAATTTAATTCATTCAAAGTTAATTAATTTGTGGTGACGGACTAAGAATACAGAGTATCACCACCCCTATTCATCCCGTGGGTGTCGTAAAAAGCGACTAAGGGAAAAAAACTAGGCAGGACAACAGCACTGCAGAGGGAAGGAAAACTTGACACAAACCCTATACCAACCCGTCTGGCCAGCGTGGTATAGTATAGGCCAAAACCTCCTTTCTGAGGAGAGGCCTATGTCCAGCAGTGGACTATTAAAGGCTGTTGATGATGATGATGATGATGAATTAATTTGTTGATGATGTTCAAGTATTATTTCTCGGTTCCTGTATTACCGAGTTGGGTACTAAAAATAATAGATTCTTCCAAAATTACTAGAGCTTTACGTAATTCATAGGTTCTACTAAACCTTTCTAAAATATGCCTTCGCCGAAAACCTTTTTTATTATTTATATTTATTTATTAACTATTACTGATGTGTGCATATATTTACATCTGAACATAGTTTTACGGCATACATATATGACTCACCTATAGAGTAGTTCGTGTGATGTATCCTGAGGTAGGGTCGATGATCAAGCGCTGGTTCCAGGGCTAATAACCGCCACGTTAGGTCGGGTGGGGGCACTCCACCTTTACACATAATTACATTATCAATACAGATATCAGATGTTCCGTAATAGTAGTGAACTAGAGAGAGAGTAGTTACCTTCAGCGACGCAGCGCACTTCGAGCTCGGTCTTGTCCCTGACAGGGACCCAGGTGTTGCCCGCGTCAAGACGACGACCGTCCACCGCTAGGTATACGGACCGCACTGGTTCTAGATCACAGTATTGCTTATTGAGTACTTATTTTCAGAAAAACATATGTATCTAAGTACTATGTAACTACATATGTACATACATACGTACACACTATCTTGAGTGCCCGAAAAAGTAGACAGAGGTATATTGAACATCAAACTTTTGCTGAACATAATTTGATCCCACTCTCATAATAAGGGATAAGCCTATTGCTGTCCCTAATCGGGAAATAATGGAAGGGAAGAGGTACTGCTTGTGTAGTCGTGTATTGACCATATTTCTTTTGACACCAGCCATTATTAGTAACTACAGTTTCATCATACCTATGATAGAAAGTTGATACGAAAGAAAGTGTTTCGTCAGTAAATTTTCAAATTCAGATTGACAAATAACGTTCATTAAAAGGTACATTTCCCGTATAATTACATAAATATGTTATAATAATTGGTACAACACGTTCTAACTGCTGTTCTAACGGGCTGTTCTTTTTGGTGGGACTAATCCCTCCCACACGCCCACCACTATAACTTCTGTACACCACTATCAACAGCAGTGACCGACGAACACACCGAGTTATGACACCCTAGAAGTCCCAGAAAAAAATAAAACTGTCTTGGAACCCGCAACGAAATTAATCAGAAGAAATTTGGAAGACTTGGAAGTATAGTAAATCCACTTCCCTCCTTAAAAATTAAGTAAAATAGGCATACACCCTTTTAAATAGGAAAGCATCACGATCACAAAATATTATAGGTCCTAAGTGAGCTATATTTGATTTCTATAATATGTATGGCAGAATTGCCTAAACGCACGGAAATTTACTCTAGTTGACACAGGAAGCGCATAGTATACCACCCCAGATGTCACCTGCAAGCTATTCAGCATTATACCAATGACTACATTCCCAGAGGATATGATGAGCAGACTGTTCACAGTTAGAGTTAGGTGTTGAGCATTGACACAATGGTGAATCGACTAATTTTAATGAGTACAGCTGCCATTATCGCTGTTTTATTACCTACATTCATACGTGATCCCTGATCATTAACCAATTCGTTACTTTTTGCCAATTAACCGGTAGCCTGTGACACAAACTCGCAGTGATTATATTCCCCACAGCTATCACGATCGCTAAGAGACAAAACATTCCCACTTAACTCTGAAGTATTAGATGCGTTTACATCTATTGTCTTTCTTCGAGAAATCCGTAGGTGACATTTCACTAAATAACCTTATCTCGGTTGGTGTTAGAAATTCACTTGTATTCGGCATCCGGATCCAGCAACTCGCTAACAACCGACATAGCCAAACAAAGACACACCAAACAACAATTTCAAACAGAACAAGCTTAAAAATAAACAACACGCAAAGAAAAATCAATACAAACAAAGAACACCCACTTTTAGAAAGAAAATAAATTTACTTCCCTTTAACAAATCCCTTTATTTAAAAACAGTAAGAACTTACTGCTATTCTATTAAAACACTATACACATGAAACAATATTTAAATTATCAGCATAGAAAGTCACACGTGAATCGCACAGTACCGCGAAACGCGGGGCTTGCTAAACGAATTGGTAATAACTTTCCTAACCCAGAGTAGTATAATTAAGGAAAATTGTATTTAAACTAGTTAGTAAATTAACCCGTCCCAGCCATCAAGCCCGTAAAACAACTTTGATGCGCAACTGTATTATACGAAAAGTTTAATTACTAAATATAACATGTTACAATTACATTGTACTTTGGCATTAATGAAAATCTTATCGCGATGACAATGTACTGGAGTATCAGCTCATAAAACGAGCTCGTTGAGCTGCGACGCGGCGGCGGTACCCGCGGGAGGTCACACCAAAATGTAATGAACTCCCTTAAGACGTTAATTTGGCGAGGCCTTTGTAAAACAAACAATATTCACAAGTTAATGTCTTAAGTCTCGTTGCGAAGCTTCTGCCGGAGGCTGTATTTTGTAAAGATACTTTTATCATTATGTTTTTTTATTAATTATATATTTTTGTTCTTGCCTGGCTTCTGTTTCTTGAAGCCGGTTATGTGTCAGGTTCTGTAGTTTTTACTACCCGTTTAAAATAAGTAACAACTTTGTCTTAGGATTTTGTATTTTGTATGAAATTTTTAAGTGGGTACATTGGAGCGACATTTGTATTTCTCCCTTAACTTGTGGTGAGATCTTATTGTTTATCAAAATTGCGTAATTCTGAGGTTAATAAGAAGTACCCTATTTAGTACTTAGATTTAGATACGAGCTAGGGGCACTCTAAAAATCTGTTTTAAATCTTGCACGATCTACTCACCATAAATAAGCAGTCGTGTAGGTTTGCCCGAGACTGTATTTCCCTTTTCGTCTTTGTGTGTACATCGCCAGGCGGCAGCATCACCTCTCGTCGCTCGTCCAACCACCAGTGTGCCATTATCAAGCCACACACCCTCGCCACCAGCAGACGCTGCCGAGGCGGTACTTGGGGGTGTTGCAGGCAGATTTAGTGACTCTCCATCTTTGTACCAGCGCACGTCACTCCCATTGCTGATCTCGCAGGAAATACGCGCCACTGAGTGCGCTTCCACAAGCAATTCTCGTTCCAACTTTGTCGCCTAGGATATTACATAAAAGAAGAACTCTTAATTAAGGGTCTCGATAACATCATATGCTTTAAAAGAAATAATTTTTCAAAATAAGCAATAGGCTTATTAAAACAATTTCCATATCGTCACACATATATATATATATATTCACAAATTCAAGCTTGTTACCTGAATTCTCAACTACGAGTAGTTTCCCGTAGAGGGGATGGTGCACTACGAGTACTAGCAAATCTATCCTTGGCTTACACTAGAGAAACGTCTCTAAATTATGTAAAATCCTATTTGTAATATAGATATTTCCTTTGGCATCTCTTTATTATGTTTACTACTGACTTAAATATCAATAAATATGCCCAAATGCTAAAAATATAAGTTGTTCACAAAGTGATAATGCAGATGTAAATGAGGCAGGATCTCGTGTATTTTTGTCGAGATTTCAGAACTCATGTTGTTAGACTTAATGAAGTCCACACGACAATTTGTAAGAAAAATAGTAAAAGACTTAACGAGCTGAATTTATTCGGGAGTTAATGAAGAGGACGAGAGTAAAATAAACAAGAGAAACGGATGCTGACGACGCTTGTGTTGATGCGGAATCACAATGAATATTCACTTGCAACTGTTTGCCAAGAGTTTTTGTAAAATTATTATAGTACCCGAAATCTCTCTGAATAGTGAATAAATTTAAAATACAAATTGTTACACTTAGGGAAAATTGCTGGTATACTCTTTTTAATAAATAATAATCTAGCTATTATAATCTTAACACTAACACCAACAAATTCAAATATTAAAAACAATACTAAAATACCCGAAAACAATAGAATAGACGACACACGACATTGTTGCACCCGGCAGAACCTATTTTTTTTAATTATTCGCAAATTGATAATCCCGCATTGTGTAAATTTGTAAATTTTCTATCTGGTTAGTTCTCTAAATCAGCTGTTCGACCACGGTCATCTAGTTATTATCGCCGAGCTTGTTGGGATTATCCTGCACTATTGGTTTTATTCATCATCATCATCATCAACAGCCTTTAATAGTCCACTGCTGAACATAGGCCTCTCCTAACAAAGGAGGTTGGTTGGTTTTATTATTTCCATTTAAATTACCTGTGGTGGAGTGTGTTGATGTCTCGACTCTTGCCTGGGCGGGCTCCTCGGTGCATGTTGTGCCTGCGAAGGTCTTATTACAAATGTGTCAAGCCTCGAGGATGCTCGCGGTCCTGGTGCTGCGCCTGCGTCACCGATTGCATCACGTACGGCGCCACGAATGTTCAGTATTGTGTCACCAGTTTTCACACGACGTTCGCTGCTGCTAGTTGACTAAGTAAAGAAAGAAAGACAATATTACGTTAATATACGAACAACAATGTTTGCAAAAATGATTTTAAACAGTAGTATGTCGGCATTTGCCGAGATTTAAGTAATCCTTGTAAAGTTTGTAGTTAGGATATTTTCTTATTTACAAGATGTTTCCATCGAACGTGATCACTGGTAAACTCTTTCTTTTAATTTTAATTGCGCTTTGACACGACGACTTATACCTGTTTGAAATAAGTCTAAAATATTACTTACTTTGTGTGTTCGATCATGTTCTTGTCCTGCACTACGCTTAACTCTAGTCTCTTCATTGTTTTGTACGTTCGTTGCGTGTTCAGTCTCTGCTGCATCGGATGTAGTGTCGGGAGCTAGATGATTGTCGGGAAGGATATTAGTACCAGGTGCAACACTATTGTCGGGTGTGCTATTAGCATCACTACTGATAGCGGGGGCTGGGTCATTGTCGGGTATAATTTCAGTGTCGATATTATTGTTGGGTGATACGTCAGTGAAGATGTTACTGCCTGGTGAGTTGTGCTCGTCTCTTAGCACGGGGTAGAGAGGTGCATCTCGGACCAGCTCGGCTGCGTCGACCGGCGCCGGGACATCGGTGCTACTCCAGTCCGAGCTGAAGGCGAAGGGAAAGCCTATGGATAAAGAAAGACTTTTTATAATTTGATGTTCTTTACATACCTAGAAGTTAACTAGGTCCAAAGTTACAATACACATATTTCTGTTAATACATAATGTCTGCGGAGGAAACGGTGTTATGTCCCTCCAACACAAAGGGAGGATTCTCTAAACAGGTGAGGTGATCATACTTGGCGGGGCGCGGCCCATTGGTTGATGTTGGGAAGTTATATATACATGTCAACAATGAATTATTTATAACGCGACATAGGACAGCAGTTACTCCGTAGTTCGGTGTTTCTTCGTTAGATGGCGCTGTAGTATGTTTCTGTTTTTTTGTATGTTTAAGTCGCCACACGTCTAAAGATTCGATTTACCTATCTACATATATTATATTTTTATTGCTCTATGGTATTGGTTATAGTATTTTACCTAAAGTTAAAGGTTTCAAGTTTACATAACTAGAACAAACTGTAACTGTGTAAATACAATATCTTAAACAAACAACTCCCCACAACACAATATTGTTAGATAGGCAAATATTTTGCGATCAGAACTACTTTCATGGGTGGTAGTAGTGTTAGTACTTGGGTAATCTCATATTATCATCCCGACTCTCCATTTCAATACACTTGTGAGAGGAAGCCTATCCTTTTCAATAAATACCTTTCTGAACGTTTAAACTTCGTATACATTTCATGCAATTGTTTTAATAGCTTTCTCCTTTTTGGAGTGACAATAAATAATTTTAACGTATGATTTGCAATTTAGAAGTTGCTAGTTCGAAGACCAACAAATACCTAAATTTTAATGTGTCGCTTCATCATCAACAGACTTTAACAGTCCACTGCTGGACATAGGCCTCTCCTTCGAAAGGAGGTTTTGGCCAGACGGGTATAGGATTTGTGTCAAGTTTTCCTTCTCTTTGCAGTTTTGTTGTCCTGCATAGTTTGCTCCCTTAGTCGGTCACCACACGGACACTGACATGTGTCGCTTACTGCTTGTTAATCTTTGTTTGCTAGTATTCCAATTCAAGACGTAAGTACCTCACAAATATTAATGCTGCTGCAACTGTAATTAAAAATATAAAATTTTCGAAAGAAGAAATAATCTAAAGTACCGAGGTATTCAAAATACGTTCAAGTTTATTTTCTGCTGAAATGACATGAAAACTGTGAAATAAGTGGTCGTGATATTCATTCAAGCACAACATAAATCACGCTGATGTTGTTGCAATAACTTAATCGTGGACTATGTTTGTGTGGTGACCACGAGTCCGTTACATCGCGGACAAAGCAAAATATCTTGGCTACTTTGTCACCATTACCTTTTACAGCAATAAATATAAAATGGCCACTGATTATGGATTAGTACATTTTTATTGGTGTTCAGCAGTTCTTATATTTTTTTTGCAATATCTGTAAATCATAATAATTTTCATCAAGTATCTCGTAAACAGTACAGTACCTTAATGTAAAAAACAAATGTTGTTTCATCAACCCAGTTGTTTCACAAATTTTAATGTTCTGTTGGTGAAAATTAAAATCAAAATACTGTTTACTTAATTATCTCATTGAACAAATAAAGTAAGATTATCCAAACATTGGAAAATGAAGTAGTTATGTACGGCGATGGTGCGTCGTAAATGATTTTATCTCTACACATACAAATTTTATGTAGTGAAAGAAATCCAGAAGTACAACTGTTATCTATAATAATATTTATATACCTATATAGAATATATATATAGAATAATTATTAACAAAAGTTATTTTGTAAACTTTATTTTGAGTAAAAGCTTTTAGTGTGAGTGACAGCTAATTACAGTGTTTAAATAAGGCTATTACGATTTCTACACTGTAATGAATGAACTCGAAACTACACAGATGCTTGTGATAGTACAGTAGTGCTTGTGAAAGTATCAACTAAAATTGGAAGAAATGTACGATCTAAAAGAAGATTAAGAAATCTATTGAAATTAAATACACAAAGACGTTAAACATCTACTTTTAGAAAGGCACTTAAGGTAATGAGATAGATTCAGTTCCGCTTTATGACTTAAAAATGTAAAGAGCATGAACTTTATTATGAACAAAGTACGTGTATTTACAGCGAACGTACGGTAAACGTTAGCTCAGCAGAAAGTTACTTTACACTATTAGGTGAATTATAAAACTTAAACAGAGACACGGAATAGTAGCCTTTTGTCAAACTCGGGACAATTCGCCTCTCGTTCATACGCCAACTCAAAGAAGTCATAAACTATTATTCTCGCTAGTTTTTTTTTAAATAAATTATAGCATCTAATACTAATAACAATATACATTTATACCTTATATTATAATATTAAGTCGCAGTAATAGCTTTTAAGGTACGTATAACAATATTAATAACTTTTTATTGTCATTATACGTCAAAATAATAATTTATAAACCTACATATAAGTATGTTTATCAGCAGTCTTATTATCATAATACAGCCTAGTTTTGGATCAGTCGGCCTTGTGTGAGATGTGTGAAGTTATATCCTAAGCCCACAGATCTAAAAAAAAACCGTATGGTATAGTAAATTCACTTGTATTCTGAATGAAAACATTGGACAAACATTAGGAACAATGCATTTTAACATGAAAATTTGTCTAAGTCTATGTCTCAATCCTACTAGTATACGTCGTGGTCACCCGACCCGTATGCCATCACATAAAGAGATCGGCGCGTGGGAGTCGGCAAGTGTCGCGAGCTCACTTAGCGATCCGTGCGCCTAATACCTTCCTAAGATCTGCCAAATAGCGTGTTACTTACACGAGGAACGTTCTTGACACGTTATACGTACTTAAACACACGTACACCTACTTTTGTCGTCATAGAAACAATGTGACATTTAGTACAGTAATGTAACGTCACTATTGTATAGTGAAATCATAAGGTTTTTAAATGAATGGATTCTAAAATACATAAATTCTAATTAACGTCTAGGTATATTACATAGGTACATTTTGTCTGGTTATACCATATGTTTTGATTAGGCATCAATGCATTCCTTTGAGCGACAAATATTAAACATAGGCACTAATTGAGTTAGATACAAATATCCTTAATAATTTAAAAGATTTTCACTGAAGTAAAATTTTACCAAATTAAAAATTCAGCAGCAAGATTTTGATAACATACATACAAACATTGCAAGTTCAATAAAAGCTTGTAAAAATACGATACAGAATTACAAAGCAGTACTCGCCAAGAGCAACCCACTGCCAGGTCCCCAATAGGAAGACCGGCGTGTGACACGCTCTCCCTAACATGACACCTTTTGTTATTCCAACTTTTCCCATTAACCCAACTATGTGTGTTTACCTCAACACCGGCCGACACGTGTCCCCGCGTGCGCCGCCACGTGCCGCTTACATTAATAGCTCCCGTTGATGACGTCAGGGCTGCCACCCGCATTGCTTCGCACGAATATAGCCCGAAACTTTGTACAAAGAACAGACCCAACTAAACGATCATATCACACATTATACGATTTGACAAACACGAATAAGCAGGATGTTTTACATTGCACGAGGATTACCTATGGCATCTAAAAATACTTTTATATGCGACAAACGAGCAGACGGGTCACCTGATAGTAAGTGAGTACCGCCGCCCATGGCCACCTGCAACTCAAGACACACAAGTGTATTGCCACTCTTAGGGTGTACAGGTTAGTTGGAGAGGGAAGGTTAGGTATATAGTAACCTCACTCATTGAGTGAACTTCAGCTTTACTAAGTAGCATTAAAACACGGTCGCTGCACGTTGTACGGTTCTGGAAACATTAGAAGGTAGAAAAATAATAAAAAGTAGTGCACCGAACTACGTCAAAGCTAGTTTCACACATTACGTCCGTCAATAAAAACTGCCGCCGTTCATAACTAGTCAAAGAATTAAATTGTTTAGTTCAGTGGCAACCACACTCGTCATTAAATATCGACCACAGTTCAACTCGGTGGGAAGTGCCGTTCATTACCGACATTACGCAGTACAACACGGGCCACTTGTGACGTTCCCTCGCTGAGCCCGCGCTCGCTTCTCCAATTTAAACTTAAACTCGACTTTGTTAACTTCTCGTGAATTACTTGATCATTTTTGTTTAGCCCCTTTTCTTGTTCCACTTATTTATGGAACCTTTAATCCTGTTCCCATGTCGAACATTCCGTTCTCATAACAGCCAATTATTAGACTACGTCCTACATGACAGTAATGAGTAATGACTGATTTTACTGGCTAGTCAGCTCTAATATAGAATGAATACAATTCATACATGGAATGAACTTTATCACTACAAAACCGTAACTATGCCAACCCTAAATATTTTCTAGCAAATCCCGAGTCGAATAAGCTACATTAATAACACTTTAATTTACAGTGGCACGTTCTCACAGAGAATGTGTGTTTATCTTTTACCCCGACCAAGAATCTATTATGGAATAATTAATGGTCTTTTACTATTATGTATATATTACTAGCAATAAATATTCTACAGAAATTCAAAATGCTATTATTAAGTGGATGTACTTACAGTACGTGTAGAATGTACTACAACTTAATGTGTACTCAGTTACTAGAGCTGCTCGTATAATGTGTCTGTTAAAAAACCAAGGCCTACAGGACAAACAACATAATAGTCAAAAAGCAAAAATCCTAATGATATCAATTCTGACAGTTATAATCTGTATAAGTCTGAAAGTTTCAATTGTTATAAAACTTGTTCATCGTGTAGAAAAACAACAAGAAATTATTTAGTACACATTTAAACATTGCCAATATTACACCAACTGTAGATTGACGCACTGACAGTGCTGTAGATTTCAAGCAAAATATTTCACCTGGCCTAGGGCTCGGCAACCCGTTGATCACCAGGTGGTGGTGCGGCTACCACTAAATTTAAGAGTCGGAAAAATCTCGGGTTCTCGGTTCTCGGGGACTTCTTTCGTGGGTCCCTTGCAATAAACTCATTTGTGACGAAATAAGACTTCA